TCTACATGCAAAAGAATGAAGTTGAACCCTCACTTTATACCATATTAGAAAAAAAAAATCAAAACGCATGAAAGAACAACTGAATTTAAGAGCTAGAACTATAAAACTCAGGAAAAATCTTCACGAATTTGATTTGGCAGTTTTTTCTTAAATATGACAACAAAAATGCAGGCAACAAAAGAAAAAAATAGATAAACTGGACTTCATCAAAATAAAAAAACTTATGCATCAAAGGACTTTAACAAGAAAGTGAAAAAATAGCCTACAGAATGATAGAAAATATTTAGAAATCACATACTTCGTGTTTAACTTCCAGAAATGTAAAGAATTCCTACACCTCAACAACAAAAAAGCAAACAACCCAATTAAAAAATGGGCAAAGGACTTGACTAGACATTTCTCCAAATAAGATATACAAATGGCCAATAAGCACATGAAAAGATGCTTAACTTCGTTAGCCATCAGGGAAATGCAAATGAAAACCATAATGAGATACCACTTGACAGCACTAGAATAGCCATAATTTTTTTTAAAAAAGGGAAAATAACAAGTATTGAGGAAGATATGGAGAAATGGGAATCCTGTGCATTGCTGGTGGGAATGTAAAATGGTGCTGCTGTGGGAAACAGTTTTGATGCTTCCTCAAAAGGTTAAGCATAGAATTAATTTCACTCCTAGGTATATACCCAAAAGACTTGAAAGCAGAGACTCAAACAGATACTTGTATGCAAATGTTAATTGCAGCATTATTCACACTAGCCAAAAGGTGGACACAACCCAAATGTCCATCAACAGATGAATAGATAAACAAAAAATGGTATATTCATACAATGGAATATTATTCAGCAATAAAAAGAATGTTTTGACATGGATAAACCTTGAAAACATTATGCTAAGTGAAAGAAACGAGACAAAAAAAGATAGATATTGTATTATTCCACTTGAGATATCTATTGTTAGTTGCCAGAGAGCTGTCTGACTCATGAGGACCTTATGTATAACAGAATGAAATGTTGCCTGGTCCTGCGCCATCTTCATGATCATTAGTATGTTTGAGTCCATTGTTACAGCTGTTGTGTCAGTCCATCTCATTGAGAGTTTCCCTTGCTTTTGTTGGCCTTCTACTTTACCAAGCATGATGACTTCTAGCAGTTGGTCTTTCCTGATGTTTTTGTGTCCAGTGTAAGAGAGTTGAAGTCTTGCATCCTTGCTTCTAAGGAACATTCTGGTTGTATTTCTTCTAAGACTCATTTGTTCGTTCTTTTGGCAGTCCACGGCATATTCAATATTCTTTACCAACACCGCAGTTCAAACATAGTTCTGTCTTCCTTTTTCATTATCCAATTTTCGCATGTATATGAGGCGACTGAAAAGACCAGGTGTACCTTAGTTATCAAACTGACGTTTTTGCTTTAAAACTTTAAAGAGGTTTAGAATAGGAAAATTCATAGAGATAGAAAGTTGACTAGAGGTTATCAGGGGCTGGGGGAGTTATTGCTTAATGGGTATGGAGTTCATGTGTGGGATGATGAAAAAGTTCTGGGAAATGATAATGCAAATGGTTACACAACATTGTGAATGTACTTAATGCCACTGAATTGTACCCTTAAAAATGGTTAAAACAGTAAATTTTGTTATGTGTATTTTACCACAATAATAAATAAAAATAATAGTATAGCTGGGCATAGAATTCTAGATTGTTAAATAATTCTTTTAGCATTTGAGAGAAAAAATATTTTAGTACAGTCTTGTATTTGCCGAGTGCTCCAGAAGTTTCCCGAGCTTTTTTTAATTTTCATATTAATTTCTCAGGATTAATTAACATTTCTCAGGAATGTTCAAGGATTCCCAGAACATTCAGGTAGTATTCATTCAAATCCTATACTCACTTTGGTCTGTGGTTATGAGTTTTCAAGAAAAGACTTTTCCTCTCCCACTCCTGTACATACATCCAGAGCCCAGGCCAAGACAAAGATGCTTCCTTGTCTTACCATTCTCTTTTCTGGCTCTTTGAGGGGCCTAGCCGTAAGTGCTGATCACATTTCCAACTTCAAGCTGACATCTATCTAGACTCCTAGATTCTGAGACCGGCAATCCCTTTCTTCCCCCAGGACGCTGCTGGTTAGCTTACATGAATTTGTGTTCTTTCTGCTCCTTGTTTCTCGCTCCTGGAAAATTCCTTTACTTTGTACACTCAACTATGCATTTAAAGATATTTTCATTATATTTTATCCAGCAACTGGTGTTTTCAGGTTACCTAGTCCAGCATACTGCCCGAAGCTGAAATGTGTATTATTATTGTAATTTTAAAAGAAGTTTGCATCCTTTTAGCTAATATTAAAGATATCTGAAGCATAGTGTTGTCTGGAAGTAAACATGCTAAAATGATCATCTGTAAGCTCACTACAGAGTCCCTGGGTGGCACAAATGGTTAAATCCTTGACTGCTAGCTGAAAAGTTGGCAGTTCTAACTCACCTACAGGTGCCTCGGAAGACAGGCCTGGTGATCTGCTTCCAAAGGGTCACAACCTTGAAAACCCTATGGAGCAGTTCTACTCTGCACACCTAGGATTGCCATCAGTTAGAATCAACTCCACAGCAGCTAACAACAACAAACTCACTACGCAAGCCAGGCATTACTTGTTTTGACATATTTCTCTGAAATTGACTTGTTTTCTCTGTTAATTCCTGGGTCAGAGGGCTTGAACCTTTGTACTCTTTCTTCAGAAAGGTAAATGGTATGATTTGGGTATATTTAAAATGCCAGTTGTTCTTTGCTTGATTTTCTTTCAGCCAGCAAATACTGCAAACTGTTAGTTGAAGAAGGAGGATTACAACTTTTATGTGATATCCAGGAGCACAGTGGGGCAGACCCCCAAGCACTGCAGATTGCAACCTCCATTCTAGATGACTTCAGAATGCATTTCATGAATTATCAGAAACTCCCACTCTGTCAAATGCCCTTCACCTAAGGGGCTTCAGAAATGCTCTCTGTTCCTCAACATTAGGTCTTCTGCCCTGTCAGCAATTGAATGGTGAGACTTGTTCTTGTCAGAGTTTGTGAGCTGGCCACCTTGTTGGCCTTCTGTTATGGATTTTCTATAAATTACAAAAAGGTTGGATTTGTATGATAAAGCCATATCCCAAATCAAGTTGGAATCATTCTGGGGATACCCCTTCAGTAGCAATTTCAAAAAATCAAACTGTGGACTCTGGGAAGACATGTGAGGTGGCATTGGAACAGCTGTGCCAATTGCTTTCCTCCAGCCCTGGCTGAGTTTTTGACTCTGGGGTTTTATCCAGGGCAAGCTGGGTTTGTCAGGGAAAGAGGATCTGTGTTCCCAATAGAGGAAAGCAATGACCTACAGGGAGACCTTAGTGTGTGTTAAATTCTGTGTTCTAAAAAATCTCCTAAGTTGTTACTCCTGAGTATGTGAAGCCACTGGAAAAGAAGTACATGAAAAAAGCTCTGGGAAATACATGCATATAGAAGTGTTGTGTGGAAGACAGAACCTCTGTGGAGGGAAGGAAAAAAAAGTTGTTCTTTTGTTTTTTTTTTTTTTTTACATATACCAAAGTACCTTCCACGAGAGGGGTCTGTGCTGATTCTATAGCCTGGGCTCCTCTGTGTTACTGTCTTCCAGGGTCCAAGCACAACCTTGCAGCACATTTGTGTTTAGCAGCAAATCAGCACTATTACTGGTATATGTCCATGCCTAGGGGTTAGGGACTCTAGGCCAGGCCTGGGCAATAGCTGGAAGGTTTACAGTTCAGAAAGGCCTAGGTGGTAAAGCCCTCTAGGCTCAGGAAGCCCAGCCATTGCTCAGATCCAGTTCAAGAATGACCACAAAGCCACAGAATAAGATGCAGCTTGCCCTTCCCCTGCCTTGGTACAAGAGAAGGAGGGGTATTGAGACTAGTATACATATCAGTCCCCCTTTATTTCTAAGAGTGTCATCCTCTTGCTCACCTTGACTCATCCTATTATTGCCAACCTTTCTTCTTTGCCCCAAATGACTATTCATCCTTCAGACTTCTACTCCAAATTACAGCCCATTTCCTGATCCTTCTCTCACTCCATCAGAGTTAACTACTGCCTTTTCAGTGTTTCTGAAGACTATATAATGTAGCAATCAAAGATTTACCCACCATTTGACAGTTTACAAAAGTTTTTCATGGTGATGACTTCATTTGCTCCTCAAAAGAACACTGTAAGGTAAAAATAATAACTTATGTTTATTGAATATGAGGAGCCCTGGTGGCACAGTGGTTAAGAGCTTGGCTGCTAACCAGAAGGTCAGCAGTTCAAATCCACCAGCCGCTCCTTGGAAACCTTATGGGGCAGTTCTACTCTGTCCTATAGGGTGGCTAGGAGTTGGAATCAACTCATCGGCAACAGGTTGGTTGGTTTAATTGAATATGAGTTTTGTTTGTTTTTTTTTCATCCTCACAACAGTTTCATTTCGCAGATGAATGAACTGAGACACAGAGAGGTTAAATAACTTGTCCAGGGTCACACAGCAACTGACAGAGCTGAACCCAACAATCTGATTCCTGACCCATGTTCAACCAGTACTAGGATTTATTTATTATCTCCATTGTGCAGAACAAGAAACTGGAAGTTTCTTACAACCTCTCACCATCTCTGGTGATTACTGAAAAAGCAGAGGTCAGGGCACAGGAGCCAATGATACAAAGACACAGAAGGTTCTGTTTTGGTTCTTAGTATATCATTCAAGTAGGGAGAGACAGATAAGCATCAAAAGCACACCCGACCCCAGTGATATCTGGCCAAGGTGAGGAATAATGAAGGTAACAATAGCTGTGATAGCAACTTTTAGTACCAGGCACCACAGCAAACATTTTATATCCATTCTCGTCCTTTTAAGGAAACTGAAGCCCACAGAGGTGAAATGATGAGGGCAGTCCTGCTGCAAATTTTCCTTCTGGGTCCTGCCCCTTATGGCATGTATTTCCTGTGCATAAGGTTAAATGGAAGGTCACTTGCCAACAAATTTTGGAGGGCGCTTCTCCCTGAAGGCTGCCATGCCTTCTAGTCGGTCCCGGGTTGGAATATTCTGCAACAACATACAGAATATTAGTTTTGGGAGAACAGGGCTAGAGGCCAAAAGAGACTTGCTCAAGCTTGACCAGCTCATGACATAGCTGGGGTCCAAGTATCTCCATGGCCTTTGGGCTCTGGTCTCGGGCCATGCAAAGGTATGGGCCCCAGTGGCTCCTTGTCTCCTGGGGGAGTCAGGCCAGCCTCTCTAGCATCCCTGCCCCATCACCATTAGCCCCTGCTTGCACTCTGCTTGCATGCCCCCAGAGAGTTCACTACTCACAGCAGTCTAATAGAGGTTGCTCCATAGAGAAAGAAGATTAGGCTTTGGAGTAAGAAATCTGGGTTTGAATCCTGGTGTGTAGCTGGTTTATAGTAGGTTCTGCAAGTCCCAGGTACGCTTACTGAAGAGTGTTTTGGATATTTGTTAACCTGAAACTTAGCATTTTTGAGTCACTCAGAAGAGTTAGGCTCAACAGCTCAGTTCCACTTTGACAGCCCCACCAGGGAACACACACAGTCTGCAGGGTACAACCAAGGCCTTGACAGTCCAACTCCATCCCGGCCTCTATAGCAGCCACTTGGGCAAAGACAGCAAAAGCTGTTCTTCCTCCTTGTCAAGTACCTGTGCATTCTCCTGTGATTCTCTGGGCACTAAGTGAGGAAGATGCACCAACATGAGATGGTTGAGGAAACAGTCCCAGAAAGAAGCAATGTGGTTCCCCTGGGACCACTCCAGATTATTTGTGAGGAGAGGGTAGCATAGTCAAATTCTTGAGTTGGGAGGAACCTAATGCCCCCTACTTTGGGCTGGCCTCTGCTAACATGCATGCATGAACTGGCAGCAGCCACATACCTGGGCATAGCACATCTCTTCGATGGCCATCCCTGAAGCAATGTCAACCTGCAAGAAAGAAGTAGCACCTAGATCAGCCTGACTTTGTCCACCTCCATCCCCACTGGGAGCTAGCCCAGTCCTACTCCCTAAACCCTTCCCCACTGTTTTCATGGATTCCTTCAAAGAATTACTGAGGCTAACTGTATACCAGTCTATATGAACAGAGAGGGAACCCTATTCCTAATGATGACAAAACAGTACTGGGAAAGATGGAAGCTGTGAGAACAATGAGGAGGATCCAGTCCAACCCATGGAGCTGAGAAATTCCACCAGAGGAGGGGTACCTGGCAGTGCTTTCACATCCGAGGTTCCCGCCTCCCTACCTGGCCTCCTCACCATTGCCTCAGAAATAAATTCCTGGGCCTTTATGACCTGGCTCCTGGCAACTTAAGCCTCTTACTGCTCAGTGCTTACTATGTGCCAAGCACTGTTCTAAAAGAAGTGTGTGTCTGTGTGTAAACTCAGGTGAACACCATGTGGAAGAGCAGATCTTTGAACCCAGACAGTCTAGCACCAGAGGTGGGGCCCCTAACCTCCAAGCTCTCTTGTCTAGCTTACCCCTCACTCCCATTCAGTCAAGCTGTTTATTTATACACTTCTGTATGTACTTTTGCTTGGAGTTTGGGTGACATACTGGTTGGCAGTTCGAATCCACCAGCGACTCCTTGGAAACCCTATGAGGCAGTTATGCTCTGTCCTATAGGGTCGCTATGAATTGAGATCCACTTGATGGCAATGGTTTGTTTTGTGTTTACGGGTACTTTTGCTTACACTATTTCCTTCTCTCTGGAATTCTCATCCTTCCCAAGGCCCAACTCCAGCAAACATTCTCTAACCCAGCACTACCATTAGAGTAGCCACTGGTGACTGTTGAGCACTTGGATATGGCTACGCAAGGGAGGAAATGAATTTTTCAATTTTCTTCTCTTTTAATTAATTTAAATTTAATGGCCACATGTAGTTACCAAATGGACAGTGCAGCTCTAACTTCTCCCGGGTATCTACTCTAAAACTTGGTACCATTAGCCTTTTATTAGTGATTTGTGTCCACATCTGCCACTCTCCCACCTTGGGGGTAGTGACCGTGCTTGACTCAACCTGTGTCCCAGTTCCCAGCTCAGGTCTAGATTCAGTGTGATGAGTGAACTGGGGAGTAAGCTGACGTGTAGGAATGGATTGGCTGCACCTAAGGCATCACCCTAAGCCCTACCCTGAGGCCGTATTACTGACCACCAGCACAGACCCAAGAACATGGATCCAGAGCCACACAGACCTGGGTTATTACTCACTTGCTGTATGACCTTGTGCAAGTCATTTATCCATTCTGAACCTCAGTTTCCTTCTCTCTCCACAGAAGAGAAATGAGGATAAAATGTAATTAGGAATGGCATCCCACCAAACTTCCCATTTTGTAGATGAGTAAACTGAGGTTCAAGAGTCCCTGGGTGGTGCAAGTGGTTAACACACTCAGCTGCTAACTGAAAGGTTGGCAGTTCGAGTCCACCCAGAGGCCACCCAGGTTGCTGAAAACTCTATGGAGCACAGTTCTACGCTGACACACATGGAGTTGTCACAAGTTGGAATTGACTCAGTTGCAGCTGGTTTTGTTTTGTTTTTTAACTGAAGCACAAAGAGAGAGGAAGTCTGTTGGAAGAGTCCAGTTCCTGTTCCTGAGATGGAGTTCTTTCCAGCTGCACTGAAAGCACTGCATCCCAGCCACCTGACTGACTTTAGTGGACCCAAGTCCTGACCTAGAACCCTCTCACCTCCATTCCTCGATCAATGGCTACTTTGCCCAGCCGCACAGCAATGGGGGCCTAGGGAAGAGAAAAACTCTGCTGAGAAGAGGATAAATGCTGATAAGTTAGGGGGTTTGAACTAGAGAAAGGCACACAGCTCAGTTATGGGGTGAGAGTCTTGGACAGGAAGGCAGAGGTCTGTGTCTGGTTCCAGCTATTCTGCTGACCTGTTGTGTTCCATTAGTGTTACCTGCCTACTACCTATCAGCTTATGTTCCTTTTCTATAATGAAGTCAGACTCTGATCCCTGACCCTCCCAGTCCTGACTGTCTGGGGTTCTTGTTGTTCAATCCATCCCTCCAACGTGTACAACATACAACAGTTTACAAAGTACTTTCTCCACCCACACTCTAATCTAATGGTGTTATCCACCTTCCAGGCTGGTGGCATTAATCACTTATTTTAGATGTGAGATTGAGGCTCAGGAAGGTGTAGCAGTTGGCTTTGTCTATCCAGTGGGTCACTGGTGAAGCCTGGACTGGTGTATTTGACTCCCAGTCACTTCCCACTGCTGCACCTTCAGTTCCCCCTCCCAAGACCCAGCCTCTGTCTCAGCAAATGCAGACTCCACTGCAAGCAGATTTCACCCCAACAGGGTTAAAAAGAAAAAGCCAAGATTACGAACTTGGGCTTTGGAATCTGACAGGCTGGGACGGAAATCCCAGGAGGGGGAGCATCTTGACACAGCCACATGGAAGCAATGGCATCAAAATGGCCCTTTTAGAATGTTAAATCACTGGTCATTGCTTCCAGGTAACCTATGCCACAGCAGCCATGGCACTCCATCCCCAACCCTACTCCCAGGCAGGGAATGTATTTATCTCCTAGATTGTTTGTATCTATTATTTTAAATGTTTGTAAGTAGGACTGTACCAGAAAAAGACAATGATTTTTAAAGTCTGTTAGCATAGAAGCCGTAAATGAAAAAATTTTAGCTACATAAAAATGAAGAATTTCAGATTGGAAAAAATACCACAGATAAAAGGCAAAATCAAAAATGGGAAAAAATGCAGTTCTTATGACAGACTAATTTTCTTGATTTATGAAAACCAGATGTAAGTTAATTTTTTAACAGCATTCACAAAGGATATGATGGATGCTCGGCTTCACTATTAATGAAAACTGGCAAAAATTAAAAATGTTGATAATACCCACCACTTGCTGAGATTTGGAGAAACAAGTACTTGCATTCATTGCTGGTAGGAGCGTAAATAGGTACACTGGTTCAGGAGGGCAATTTGGCAAAAACTGGCAAAATGTTAGACGCACATGGTCTTTGATCTTGCAGCTCCATGTAGGAATTTATCTTACAGACGTATTTCAAGAAGTATGCTAGTATTTGTGCAAAGTTATTCACTCCTGTTATATTGCAATAGCAAAAAGATGGACACAGCATAAATGCTCATAATGATATATCCATACATTGAATGAAAAAGTGTAGAGCTGTTAATTAAAATGAATGAAGCAGATCAGTTTGTGCCAAAATGGAAAAGTCTCCAGTAGAGAGTAGGTGTAAAAAAGCAAGGTGCTTGCTAGTGTGTATATTGTGATTCTATTTGTGTAGTGGTTAAGAGCTACAGCTGCTAACCAAAAGGTCAGCAGTTCGAATCCACCAGGCGCTCCTTGGAAACCCTATGGGGTGGTTACTCTGTCCTTTAGGGTCACTATGAGTTGTAATTGACTCAATGGCAACGGGTTATTTGTATAAAATTTGTTGATATGAGCTTTTCTTTTTTTCTAGAAGGATATGTAAAAAAAAAACTTAGTAGTGGTTGGTTCTCTTTTGGGAGACGGTCAGAGAAATGGAGACCTTCACTTTTTGCTTTATCTTTGAATTTTTGACTATGCATATTTTAATTTTATGAGCTTTTTTTTTTTTTTAAAAATGTTTTAAATGCCTGTTATTTAAAACATTAACTGGATTAGCCTCTAAAGGTGTGTTCCTTGTTCCTTAAATCTTCATTAAAAGGAGTTTAGAGTTATTTAAGTATATATGCATATAATATATTCTTATATATGGAATGAAAATTTCTGGAAGAGTATGCCAGCTATTAACAGTGGTCATCTCTGGGGAGAGGGATTGGGGAATTAGGACTGTTAAGGTGACCAACTGTCCTGATTTGCCTGTGACTGAGGCAGTTATTGGGATACAGGACTTTCAGTTTTAAAATTGGGACAGTTTCAGGCAAACTGCAACTAGTTGGTCTCCTTACTTTTGACTTTTACCTTGTACCCTTCTTAGTCTTCTGTTTGATTTGCTTTCCATGAATATGTATTATTATTACTTAGGTAACTACTTAATAAAAAAATTGATTTTTCACCAAAAAAGTAAACACATGTATGTTTCTGAATTGTGTTGTTGTTAGGTGCCGTCGAGTCGGTTCCAACTTATAGGAACGCTATATACAACAGAACGAGACACTGCCCAGTCCTGCACCATCCTCACAATTGTTATGCTTGAGCCCATTGTTGCAGCCACTGAGTCAGTCCATCTTTTTGAAGATCTTCCTCCTTTTCGCTGGCCCTCTACTTTAGCAAGCATGATGTCCCTCTCCAGGGACTCATCCCTCCTGATAACATGTCCAAAGTATGTGAGACATAGTCTCGCCATCCTTGCCTTGAAGGAGCACCCTGCCTGCACTTCATCCAAGACAGATTTGTTTGTTATTTTGGCATTCAGTATTCTTCACCAATGCCGCAATTCAAAGGCGTCAGTTCTTCTTCTGTCTTCCTTACTCATCATCCAGCTTTCACATGTATATGAGGTGATTGAAAACACCATGGCTTGAGTCAAGTGCACCTTAGGTGACATCTTTGCTTTTCAACACTTTAAAGAGGTCTTTTGCAGCAGATTTGCCCAATGCAATGCATCTCTTGATTTCTTGACTGCTGCTTCCATGGTGTTGATTGTAGATCCAAGTAAAATGAAATCCTTGACAACTTCAGTCTTTTCTCCATTTATCATGATGTTGCTTATTGGTCCAGTTGTGAGGAATTTTGTTTTATGTTGAGGTGTAATCCATACTGAAGGCTGTGGTCTTTGATCTTCATCAGTCAGTGCTTCAAGGCCTCTTCACTTTCAGCAAGTGAGGTTGTGTCATCTGCATAACACAGGTTGTTAATGAGTCTTCTTCCAATCCTGATGCCCCATTCTTCGTCATATAGTCCAGCTTCTCGGATTATTTGCTCAACATACAGATTGAATAGGTATGGTGGAAGGATATGACCCTGACGCACACCTTTCTTGACCTTAAACTGCGCAGTATCCCCTTGTTCTGTTTGAACAACTGCCGCTTGATCTATGTACAGCTTCCTCATGAGCACAATTAAGTGTTCTGGAATTCCCATTCTTTGCAGTGTTATCGTAATTTGTTATGATCCACACAGTTGAATGCCTTTGCATAGTCAATAAAACACAGGTAAACATCTTTCCGGTATCCTCTGCTTTCAGCCAGGATCCATCTGACATCAGCAATGATATCCCTTGTTCCGTGTCCTCTTCTGAATCCGGCTTGAATTTCTGGCAGTTCCC